TCAATTCCAGTTATTTCTAAACACACGCTGTTATTCTGAGAATATTGGGCAAGGCTCGGATGGCTCCCGACAGATACAATCTCTCACTGGCCTCGAACATTCGAAAGACGTAATAGGAAGCACAGTGGGTCTGTATAGAGATCTGTTCAGAAAGTGGACCAGTTAAAGTGTTTATCGTCCCGGGGGACGCTGTATGTAAACAAGAAGAGGCACGTTCTCTGCTTTTGACATGCTCCAAATCTCTTTGCTCTTTCCATCCAAATTATTAAACCCCTTGGATTTTCTAGAAAAATTTAATCGATCTCCTTTAGAAAGGGCTTCCCAAACGACCTCCCTGCCTATCAGCCTTAATCACAGGGAGGCTTACCAGATGAGCACTAAGCCACACGTCCCTGGAGCGGCAGGATATTTAGCTAAGTGCAGGCGAAGGACGTTTCCTGTTGGAACAGAATGTATGACTTTGATAAATGCTTCAGGCAAGCAAAAGGTACAGGAATAAGAAGGCTCTGCAGAGCTGAGCTGGAGAATGTGGTGGTTTAGGACAAGTTAGCTGGTAGTTACAAATCTAGCGTGGAATGCTTGTGTCTGTAAATTCAAGGTCAAATCCTACAGTCTGTACCCAGGAGTAGGGGCTAGGGAATTCAGTCCTCTAACCTTCACACATCTGTGGCATCCTGGAGATGAGTGAGACAGTATTTAAAGGGTAGGTAGGGTCTGGAAAGCCATTAGAAGGACAGCATTGTCAGTTTCATAAGGCATTGTGTCATTTGTCTTCGGAAGTCTCCAGAGCAAAACTGCTTAGAATAAGGATGCCTTTTCCAATTTCCAATTGCCAGCCCTGTAATCTCCCTGTGGGATCTGAAAGTCAAGATGGGTTCTTTCAGGCTCCCACTTAATTACTTGTAATAGAGGGTATCAGAAACAATAGCTGTCTTTAGTTACATCCTTGAAATTCTGCTGTCCTCCTTGAGGTTGCCCATCTGTGGATGAAGACTAAATTGGGCCCCGCAGCTGGAATTGAGCGCCCCGTGATGCTGCTCTTTCTCATGCTGAGTAGCACCTTACTCCATGAGTCGTCTCGCTGAAATCCGTATGGGTGAGAGGCAAAATTTGGGTCTGAGTTAACAAATCATTTGTGTCAGAACAAATTTGTTTATTATTTTGGACTCCTTCAGTGATCGGCCCTAAAGAGAGCTCTTTGGAGATGAGGGGGTCCTGTGGGTTTAGCGGGAAGCTAATGAAGGTGCGATTGACTGGTTTAGGAGCATGCAGCAGGTCCCTTGAGAGTGTGGCTAGCAGGTGGCTTGTGGAGGGCTGTCTTTCTGTGGGTTCACAAAGCTGCAGCCACACTGAAACCGTCCCCAACACCACTGTTCCCATGTTACTGCAACGAGACCCCTGGTTCACGCGGCGTACCTGGGCGCAAACGGCTGTCACTGGGCATGTGGGCTAATGTGCGGCGGGGGCGGTTGAGTTGGACTGAGGGTCACTTCTAGCAGACCTGTTGGTTCAGGCAATAAGGGCTGGTCTTGTCTCCCAAGGAAGGGAAGCAATCTGGGATCAGGCCGTGCAAACAACTGCCAACTTTGCCTCAACCATCACGGCGTCCTCTGGAGGTGGGAATTGTCTTGGGTCCAAGTAATGGAAGGATTAACTAGAGGGAAAATGGTTGCTGTTCCTGCTTTAGGGGAATGAGGGTGCTGGTTGCTGCACGGACAGGAGCAATGCCACGATGCCGCTGTTCTGGGTCAAATATTGACACAAGTTAAAGCCACCCAGATTTGGCTTTGCAAAACAATAACTGCAAATCCTGTTTATGTTGGAGTCGGTCCAAATATCCAAAGCTCCACGAGGGAAACAATCCCACCTGTTGTTGAAGTCTCCCTAATATAAAGGCTGCCTGCCTATAAAGTCCATAGGGTGAATCCCAGCTGAGATTGTGAGGCAAAAACTCCTTTCTGCATCACTTCCCATCCACTTGTGGCATTCAGGCCTGTGCGTGTGAGAATTAGGTTTGCGAGCATTAAAGTGGTTATTTAAACAAACATGATGCACCAGAAACCACAGGGGTTAAGTGTTGGGTGGTTAAGCTCAGTCCTGCGTGTCAAGAATCCTCTGTAAATCAGATTCCTACAGCTGGGTTACGAGTATGCTGTTTAGAATGGGTGCACCAGTGGATCTGTCTCTCTCGGAGCTTGCCTGGCAGAGGTGCTGTTTTTCTAGGTAATATGCTTAGAAGAGCAGAGAGTTTCAGATAAGAGGCTTGTCTGTGGGAAGCTTGGCTTTGGCAGCTGTACCTGCAGGAAAACTTGTCTGTCCATGGAGAGTCATGCAGAGTAAGAAGCTTGCTCTTGTTTTGTGGGGGGCTGGTGCACGGGGGTTTAGTTGGGGTGTCAGTGTAATTACTTCCCTTTTACACACCCCTGTGAGCCTGCCATACAGCAAGCCAAGTGTTTGTTCTTTAGCTGGTCTTCTGCAGAATGTTATCGATTCTCTCCACCCCCGGCTTTATTGGCTCATCCTCTTGAGAACTAACATCTTAAACTAAAGTGAAACCCTACCTGGCTGTTACACCTGGGTAAAATGAAACTGTATATGCTTAGGGCAGTGAAGGAATTGAAAGCAACAGTGTGAACAAGGAGCCCTGGAATGCTCAACGTGCTTGTAAAACACAGACTAATTTAGCTTTGCAGCATTCCCTTGGGACTCATAATTATTACTCCATCTTACAGATGGGGTAACTGAGGCACCGTGCTGCTAAGCGACCCATCCAAGGCCACACACAATTATGGTAGAGCCAAGAATCAAACCCAGGAATCCTGATTCCCAGTCCCTTTACTAACCTCGAGCTGATGGGTGCCTGGCTCCTGGTGTTTAAAAAAACAAAGCTTTCCTTTGAGAGACAAGGTGGGTGAGATAACACCTTTCATTGCACCAGCTGGTGGTGGAAGAGACGAGCTTTCCAGCTACACAGAGCCTTCTTCAGGGCTCGGAAAGATACTCTAAGCTTCAAAGCTAAATGCAAGGTGGAAAAGATGGTTGAGCGTAAGGGACCATTCAAGGTGAAGTGGCCCATCAACGGGGGGTGGGGAGGCAGGTAGTGAGTTAAGGATTCTTGTAATAAGCCATGAATCCAGACGATATATGGCTCATTACAACAGTCATAAAGACATGAGTAATGGTTTATTACAGGTTTCAGAGTAGCTGCTGTGTTAGTCTGTATTCGCAAAAAGAAAAGGAGTACTTGTGGCAACTTAGAGACTCACAAATTTATTTGAGCATAAGCTTTTGTGAGCTACAGCTCACTTCATCGGATGCATTCAGATTCATACAGCAATCTCTTGCTCACTAGGTCCCCTCCTTTCTCTGTCCTATGACTGCAGGGGTGTTGATGGGCCTTGAACGGTCCCATATGCTAAACAATCTATTTCCCACCTTGTGTTTAGCTGTGACCCTCTGAGCATCTTTTCCAGTCTTGAATACCTTGAAAGCTTCTCTCACACCACCAGAATTTGTTCCAGTAAAAGGCATTACCTTACCTGCCTTGTCTCTCATGTCCTGAGACCAGCAGAGGTACAATACCGCCCAAAGCTTCCCTGTGTCACCCTTGGAGTAAGCTGCTGTGGAAGCACTATGCGCCACTCTGAAATTTTTATCCACTTATATTTTGGAGGTTGACTGGCTTTTTTGGGGCGGGGGGGGAGATTGTGTGTTGTTTTTTTTTCCCCTATCCCCCAAGGCACATGGCTACACATACTGATAAATCTTCACTTTAATTTTTGTCTGAGCAGGAAAACTTCTATTAAATCTTCCAGTGGACCTGGAGGCGTGGTACTCAATTCAGTCCCAACTGTGTGCTTAAACAGTATGTAACGTGGGCTTGAATTGATTTGCTACCTGTAGCAGAGAATTGTGGCTTATTGTTACTTGATGGTGTAGGGCCTGGTTCTGGTCTCTCCCCTTTGTTCCTAAGGTGGCGGCTGCTGCATCCCCAGAATACCGGATGTTCCAGTGCTTCCGGGAATAAATGGCACGGGACCTCCCCTGCCAGCATGACTTCACCCCTGCCAGTGTGACCTTGCAGAGGGGTGTACTCTTCATAATGGGGTCAGCCATTCTTGATACTGGACAAAACCATGTCCCATTTTGTCTCGGTACCGGACAGGGGACAAAGCCATAGTTAAAGAGGACTCTCCAATATAAAACTGGACAAATAGCCTGCCTAGCTTTACCCTAGTGCAATTCTATGGATCTCCCAGGCATTACTCATCTCTGGCAGATTCAAGCCCTTTTTAAAATTGATTCCCACAGCTTGTGCGCAGCTAAGTACTTGGGGAAATTTCACCCTGAATTCGTGAATATTTATTTGTCTGAATAAGGACTGGGAAATCCCTAGCTCTCACAGTGGCGTAAATGTGGAGTGACTGGCCTGATATCAGTGCAGTTCAGTCAGCATAGAACTATTGTGAGTGAAATAAGAATTGGGTCCTGAATGAGGACTTCAGGATTTGGCCCAGTGTATATGTTGTACAGCCTCACTGAAATGCAGCCACTCCTGAGGTGGAGGGCAGCACATCACACAGCAGTCATGAGAGGGGAAAGTGTCATAGGATTTGTCATGTGGGTGGGGCCGTGTCTTTTATAAGGTGTCATCCCAAAACCACCAACAGCCTCCCCCCTGCCAGTGACCTGGATGGTACTTGATCATTTGAGCCTGTTCTTCCAGGACTCCAGTGCTCTGTCATACAGCTGCTCCAGCACAAACCCCTGTGACTTGGACTCGTGCAAACTGCAGGGCACGGGGGCCAGGTGGGGCTGCACTAGGGGCTTGATCTGGTGCACTCCACTGGTGCCTGAAGTCCCTGTGTTGACAAGGTCTGAACTCTCCAGCCTGGTATTTGTGTCACTGAACCGCCCTCTGCTGGCCTGTCAAGCGGACAGAGCCCCCAACCTGCCCCGAGGGAACCCCTCATGCAGCCTTTCTTCCTTTGTCTTTGCAGGGCACCTGAATCGCTCCAGTCACTGCAATGAATGGCCAGACTATCCCAGCAAGCACTCCCGGGCATCCCCAGGGCTGGAATGAGTTCTGCGAGCTGCACGCCATCACCACGGCCAAGGAGCTCGCCAAGAAGTACCTGCTGTTTGCCACTGAGAACCCCCACCATGACTTCCTGGCAGCCGAGAACTTCTCGGTGCAGTTCACAGACCTCTTCCAGCAGTACTTCTGCAACGAGGTGAAGGAAGGCTTCGCCATGAACCAGTTCAGGGTCCTGCCCTTCAGCAGGGTGCGGGACTACAGGGAGACCAGCAAGAGGCACGGGGATGCCTCTTCGGGGCCAGTCATGGCCAAGGTGGAGGCGGAGCTGGCTGCCCACTCTGAGGCTGACAGAGCTGCCGACGCTAACCCCCGGAGCCTGCCCAAGTCGTGGAGCTCTGAGGAGCTGATGGGGGCAGCCTCCCCTCTGGCTGCCAGGAGACACTTCTCCCTCACCCGGTTGCGGAGGAGCTGGCTCAAGTTCTTGCGCAGGAGATCCTCCGAGGCCATCCCGGGAGAGGGGGAGGCACCGGAGCCTGCTCTCAAGCCTGGACTGGCCAAAAAGATCCTGCCGTGGACCCTGTCCCGAGATCAGGCTCACGAGGTGTGCAAGGAGGGTCTCTTAAAATACGGCATGGTAGATGAAACCACCATGGACAGTGGGACACGCTGGCAGCGGTGCCGATTGGTTCTGCGGAAGGCAGGGATGTCAGACAATGAAGAATACGTCTTGGAGCTGTTTGATCCCCCCAAGGTAAGCGGCCTGAGGTCTCTCACATCCCCCACTCCGCCCCCTCCGTTTGCTGCTGGCCACGTCTCTTCATTGCCCCATGCATTACTGTGCTGTTCAGTGCACCTCTCCGCTTTAACAAGGAGGTGCGGCCCAGGGCTGGGGAGAACTAGAGCAGCGGTTCTCAACCAGGGATAGGCGTACCTCTGGCTGTAGGTAGAGGTCTTCCAGGGGGTTTATCGACTCATCTGGTTTTACAACAGGCTACATAAAAAGCCCTGGCGAAGTCAGTACAAACTAAAATTTCATACAGACAATGACTTGCTTATACTGCTCTGTGTACTAGGTGCTGAAATGTAAGTGCCATATTTATATTCCAATCGATTTATATGGTAAAAATAAGAAAGGAAGCAATTTTACAGTAATAGTGTGCTGTGACACTTGTTTTGTATTTTTATCTGATTTTTGTAAGCAGGTAGTTTTTAAAGTGAGGTGAAACTTGGGGGTACGCAAGACAAATTAGACTCCTGAAAGGGGTACCGTAGTCAGGAAAGGTTGAGCGCCACTGGGCTAGAGAATGGTCCCTGGCTGCTCTGATTGGGCTGGATTTGCGTGGTGGGATCTGTGGTTACTCCTTTTGTCTTGGAGAGGAATGGGCCAGGTCCTCAGCTGGTGCAAGTTGGTCTGGCCGGACATGTCCCTAGCCTTCATTTTAGAACTCAATGGCTTGTCTGTGAGCTATGGTTCCACTTTTTCCCCACTGGAGAAGCCAGATTAGGTCTGATTTGAGGAAGTGGCCTTTGCTTCTTGGTGCCTATATCCCCGTAAAGTGTAGGGTGGAATTCCCCTGCACAGAAAGCTGTGGCTCCCCCCTTACGCAGCTGTTACTGAAAGAACCTCACAATGGAAACAAGGAACAGGCCACCTAGGGAGGTTGGGGAATCCCCATCGTTGGTGATTTTAAAGAACGGGATAGACAAACACCTGTTGGCATTAACGTTTACTTGTGGTGGGATGGACTAAATCAGTATTTCTCAATCACTGGTCCGTGAGATCTCCCTGATGGTGTTTGGGAAGGATGTTTGGTATCAAAAAGGTATAGAAACACTGGACTAAGTGACCTCTTGGGCTAGAAGGAACCTCTACATTTCTGTGACGTTTCTTTTCCTCTGCAAGTTCAGGATGGGATCTCCAAATGGCCTAAATCTGCCTGGCTGTTTGTTTTTACTTGCATCATGGTTTTATTTAAAAAAAAAAAAAAAAAACCAAAATGTGAATCAGCTTCAAGTTATAAAAGTTTCTAGTGATTGGCTCTGAGAGTGAATTGTGTGTTCGTTCCAGGAATTCCTTGGCATATTTCCCTTGGGCAGAGATATTCATCGCTTTCCCATTATGAGCATTGTCTGAATGGAGACTGAACTGCCAGTGGATTCAGATGCGGGGAGGGGTTGTGAACCTCTTTGCAAAAATATGGAGCTGAAATTAGTTTCCAGCTATGGCAGAAAGGGACTTTGGAAATAAGCGAAGGAGCCATGTGCATGAATGTTTTATTACTTGATTACAATAGTAAAAGGCTGCACTTCAATGGTTTTATTTTTATTAACGGAGGAGTACAGCATTAATGTTTAAACCTTGATTGAGCCTCAGATTAATGAAGGATCACCTGCCTGGGTCTGATCCTGCCTCCAGTGACATCCGTGGGAGCTGATTGGGCCCTTGGCACTGCTCTGAAAGTGAAACTTTACCACACTTAGACTTGGTGCCCTACATATTCAGAACTAACTTTTGCAGCTTTGATGACTAGGTGAGAGTCCTATGATTCTAGTTGGAGAGTTTCCCTTTCACTTCTGCTTCAGGCTTTAACAAGATTAGCTTTGTTGTGAAACTTGCTTCGAGTGCCCTGTGATTTGGACTCTGGTGCTCAGAATAGTTTGAGATCTGAGCTGTCAGCTGCCTGAGCTTTCGGTTGGGATTCTGTTGGGATTCTGTTCTAGCACCCTGGGGAAAAGGCAGGGAGTGGGAAGGAAGAGCTAGAAGGAAATTCTTGGCTGTGTTACTAAACGCCCTTTGCATCTCATCCAGAGCCTCTAAAGCTGGGTGAGTGTCACGAGCCCTGTTTTCCCAATGGGGGACCGAGGCATGGAGGGGTTAGGTGACGTGTCCAAGATTATGCAGGGAATCGGTGGCAGAGCCAGGAGCAGAGCCCAGGGGCCTGATTCTGCTCTTTTCCTGGGGGAGACCCCATTAACTTCAAGAAGTGACTGACTGGTGCGATTGGTGAATTGGGCCTGGAGAGTCCACCTGCCTGGGTTCTTATGAGGCCCTTATGACTGTAGTAGCCGAGTGTGGATTCTTTCCTCCTGGCCCCCCGGCACAAGACTGGGCCTGTCCTTGCTTGGGTATATTCGGTGCTATAGGGTGTGGGCCCCGCTGTGGCCAGGAGGTAGGAGTGCTCCTCGGTAACACAGGGGCAGCACGAGCGTTCGCACATAGGCCCCCTGCCCTGCTCCCTGGCAGGAGAGGATTATGCTCCCTTTCAAGCCCAGCTGCAAGGTTACACGTTCACAAGGCCCAGGCCATCCTGGGACGTGCCCACGCTGCATCAGCGCAGCCAGACTTGCAGCAGTCCGGCCCTTGCTGCGCAGTCGAGCGAGAGGTGCCCCAGCGTGCCTGGGAGAACATCTGCTGCTTCCTGGGGGCAAGGGCAAGGGCTGCTCTGTATCAAGGACCTGAATTGGCCATTCCTATGCAGGCAGGTGACCCCCTGAAGCGACAGGGAGCTTTTCTTGCAGGAGTCCGACAGGAATGGGCCTAATTCAGCCAGAGTTGATCCCTGTGCAACTCTCTGAGTCAGTGGGCTTTCTCCCTGGGACAGAACTGCAGGGGAAAGCCCCTGGAGTCTTTGTTTAGCTTAGTAGAGATGCTTAGCGCAACCCTGTATCTCTGTACTCACATGGGATCCTTTATTCCCCACCAGGGCTGTTACAATAAATAGCTATCGGTGTTCAGTAAACCTATGTCAGAGAAAATAAAACCTCTTTCTGTCTCAGACTTCCTTGAGAGCCCCTTCTCTGGGCTAAATCTCAGGGCTATTTTATTATCTTCTGATTTCCCTGTTGGGTCTTTGGCCACAGCCTGTGAAAACCTTGGCTCGTTCCTCATGTTGAAAGTGCTGGTGGTTGTTCTTTTGACAGCACCACAAAGTGTAACGCTTGCTTCTATTGAAGAGCTGGTAGTCTAAGACTTAGATACAACGCCCCACAGGAGGAGAAACAAAGAGAAGGTGGAGGGTTGGAGAGAGGTTTCAGAAATGTACAGCACCTAGCGCAGGGAGCCCTGATCCCAGCTTGTGGCCCTTAGGTGCCCCCACAATGCAGATAATTCATAGTATCAGTTGGGTACTGACTGGGCACATCTCCTTGGTTTTCAGTGTTGGTTCCTGTACGTGTCTTGGGAGAAGGGAGTTTGTAGGAGGGCCTGGACTGGGGGGAGGGTCGAGGTTTGGGTAGCTGCTCAGCGCACACCTGTAATACAGAGAAGGGAGGGAAGTGAAGGGATATGAAGGCTGGTGACTCTGCTGGTAGCGGCTGGGAAATGCAAACCTTACTGGGAAGGGCTGATTGGCCGTGAAGGGTGAGCCCAAGAGCAGCTGTGTCCAGCAGAGAAATCGGATCATTGAATGTCACTAGAAAGGTGAACGTGGAACAGGTGCCTGCACAATGGACTGATGTCTCTGCAGGGCTGGCTGCCTTGGAGGGGAGGACTTTGATTGTTAACAAGAGCGGTTGGAGGGTTTGATGGGTCTGCACGGCCCGCTTTGGGAAGAGGTGGCCATGTAAAGATCGGTTCTAAGGAGCCCAGGCAAAAAGGTCCCCAGGAAAACCCCTGTGTAGGGGTAGCTGGTGTAGGATTTGATATTGACAAATGAAGAAATGGGAATGGAGGGATCCATGGTTGGCTTGTCTGCTTGAAGCACTGAATATCCAGAATTGGGGAAATTGGGTATAGTTTGCTGGAAAGCCGGTCAGGTTAATAAGAGCTGATGGCCCATGGCCAATGAGCTCCAGTCTGTCGGGGGGGAAACAAGTCTGCAGCCCCTAAAACCCATTCCAACTGGCGCCTGTTGTTGGCAGCCTTGGAAGAGAGAAATAAACTCCCTGGACTTCTAGATGCAGCTGCTTCAGCTCAGAGTTAGGAATAGGGTGACCATACATCCCATTTTGGCCAGGACAGTCCCGCTTTTCAGTTCTGTCCTGGCCGTCCCTACTGTTTTGCCAAAACTGGGTATTTGTCCTGGCCGCAAGGCAGAGTGGTGGGTCAGCCGAAGGCAACGCTGCCTGCCAGCAACAAAGGAGAAATTTGCTGCTGCCTTCAGAGCTGACACCCCCCCCCCCCAGGGTGTGGAATTCAGCTCCAGCCCAGGGTGGCACAGGGTTCTGGGGGTCAGCCCCAGCCCCAGGCAGTGTGGGGAGAGCGGCTTTGGTGAGCCCTGGGCCGTCCCGTTTTACTTTAAGAAATATGGTCACCATAGGGATAGTGCCAGGATGGCTTGGGAGAAAGAGAGAATCTGCTTGTTGTGCCTTTAAAGGTGACCAGCAAAGAGAAAAGGCCCTTTCTGAAGACTTTATGGTGGGGACAGAGGTCCTGGTAGTGGTAAATGTCTTTATTTATTTTAATGAGGTGTTTACATTAGAACTTCAGATCTTGTCTACTTTGGAAGTCTAGGATTAGAGAACTAGTGGAAAGTTGAGTAATTTTTTGGGAGGGAGGGAGGATTTTTAGTCACTGTTTAGAAGTAAGTTCTGTAATGGGTTTTTTTTTTAGGGGGGGAGGCTAATCTCCCATTTAACTTCAAATACTAATTAACATTCTGGAAAAGGGAAGTCTTGGTTAAAGGTTCTGGAGCCTTGTCTCTGAATGGTTCTCTAGGGCACAGTGCATCTGTCCAGATCCACGACAGCCTCCAGCAAAACCAGAGTAGACTTGAAATTCCTGATATTTCTAAATTTAAATAAAAGGCAAAC